TCGCCGTGCCCGAAGGTCTTCCACTCGCCGTCACGCTCTCCCTAGCCTACTCCGTCAAGGTGAGAGCGCAGCACAGCGCCCCCTGGTGCGCCACGTTCGCGTCAGCGCCCCTTGGCGCGCCACGTTTGCGTCAGCGCCCCCTGGCGTGCTCGTGGTCGCCGTGCCCGAAGGTCTTCCACTCGCCGTCACGCTCTCCCTAGCCTACTCCGTCAAGGTGAGAGCGCAGCGCGGCGCCCCCTGGTGCGCCACGTTCGCGTCAGCGCCCTCTGGTGTGCGAAGTTCGCGTCAGCGCCCCCTGGCGTGCTACGTTCGCGTCAGCGCCCCCTGGCACGGTCGCCGTGCCCGAAGGTCTTCATGGTTCGCACAGTCCTTGAAAAGTCCTTGAATTTGAGGGGAGTCCTTGAAAAGTACTTGAATTTAGTAAATGTTGATTTTGTGCTTGAAAAGTGCTTGAATTTCATGAAAATGTCCTTGAATTTTTAGAAAGAATCCTTGCCTGTTTTAAAAAGAAATTTTGTACCATCAATAATGTGCAAACCTCAATAAAAATTGCATTAAATGAGCTTAAAAAGCTATAGACACGATAGACAGTTAAATGATGATCACAAATTACAGTAAGTCAATAAAATCAGTCAGTAAATCAAGGTATGTTGTAGAAGTGACGGGTTTATTAATGTGATCCAGGTAAGTTTTAGAGGTGACATGCAGTGATTAAGAATGGGGTTATTAAATTAATCCAGGTATGTGTTGTTCTGTGTATGAATTCCGATAAAATGTCTGATAAAATGTCCTTGAATTTCCGATAAAATGCCCTTGAAAAGTCCTTGAAAAGTCCTTGGGAAAAATTTCAGTCCTCCTGTATGAACCATGGTCTTCCACTCACCGTCATGCTCTCCCTAGCCTACTCCGTCAAGGTGAGAGGTATCGATCTAGGTAGCGCTACGATCGCTCGCGCACGTTCACACGTTCTCTTGTTTCTCTCGCCTCCGCGCAGAAAATGATGCAAGACAACGACCTTGTGCGGTATCTTGACGCTTGCGGACGTTCACACGTTCTCTTGTTTCTCTCGCCTCCGCGCAGAAAATGATGCACGACAACAACTTGGTGCGGCATCTCGACG